TAATGAATTTTTATGCAAATTAAGGCCTTAATTTAAACAATAATAATTTAATTACTTTTAATGAACCACATTAACCCTGTAATCTGCATTGCTGTTTGTTAATGTAGCACATAAAAAATTGCAATGAGTGAAGGTTCAAAGCGTACAGTAGCAGCCATTCACATTGCCCTTCCCAGTCAAACGCCAACACGAATGGCAGCCCACTTCCATCAGACACCCAGCAAAATCCCCTCCAACTTCCAGCCACTGGAGTGACCCCCTCTTGCATATTAGTTTACTCTGACTCCACCCTTTCACTGAACTACAGGGTCTGACCAGGAAATTGTGCTTCTTTTTAGATCTTAATGTCCACAAATCATGACAGAAAGAATATTTTTTGGACAAATATTGATGTTTAAAAAGGAATTGTAGGGCCCATCAAGGAAAGTTGGGAGATTTAGAATTACGTCTACTGGATATGTAGAGACTTTTGCACATTTTTTTTCCCTTTTCTGGGTTTGACAGCCTGTACAGCCATAACTTTTATTGTAAACTGTTAACCCAAAAGACAATATCCAGAACTGATAACTCATGATTTTTTTCAAATGTGTTTACTTTCCTTTTTCACATCCGGCAGTCTGTTTTTAACATGTCTTATACACAAAGCTTCCAACGACTTTAAAGTCGTAGGGAAGCAGCTGTTCCAACCGTTTCATTTCCGAATTCTCCCGAGTGGTGCACGACTTTGCACGAGTGAATAAAGTGAATGTGATTGGTCTTTTATCAAGAGGATGGGATTGTTGTGGTGGAACGTTCACAAGCAACAAGGCATCTTGCTAACCAGTTAGCAACTTAATGTTAGTAGGTTCCTAATGGGAAATTCCATTGGGACCAAGTAGCACTAAATTGGTGACTTAGAAACGACGCTGTCAAGGAACGCTATGGACAGCGGAAACATGCAAGAGGAGGAGAGTTTAGTGTCGGAGGTCGTGGATGAGTCTCCTCCGTCATCCATTTTTTATTTAGAGGAGGAAAGCGGGGACAAAGACGTTGTGGAAGAGGACGCCAGGAGCTTGGTTTGGTGTAGAAGGCTTCCAGCCGTACATGTTTGAGCCCTTGCCTCGCAACGCTGCCAGTTCTGTTAGCTCTACACCTGCCGAGGACACAGATGTCCATCCCCGTGAACACTGGGACGGAACTCAATGGGAAAGTAAAGGATTCTGATTTCAACCGTTGCGTATATTAGCTGCGATATATGAATCAAGATGCTATGACAGATGAACGTTGATATATGATTGGCTGAATTTATGTGTTCAGGCTGATGTATAACTAACTGGCTTGCATAAGATAACGAGAAAAAACAACAACACATATTTTAAAACAATTTTTTTTTCAAATTAAAAATTTTCTAAATTTCAGGGATAATATCATCTGATAAAGAGTACATTTACATACATGTTTAAGCCAGAATGATTTGACATTTACATATGAGTTGCCTAAGACTTTAAAGAGGAATTGTAGGGGACCAGTCAAGGGGCCAATCAAGGAAAGTGGGGGACATTTTAAATGGCTACTACTGGATATGTAGAGACTTTTGCACAAGTTTGACAGCTTTTACAGCCACAACTTTTATTGTAAATTGTTAACCAGAAAGACAATATCCAAAAGTCATAACTCATTATGTTTTCAAATGTGTTTTCTTTCCTTTTTCACAAACGGCAGCGTGCTTTTAACACGCCATAAGTCCAGTTTATGCTTCTGACGCATAGCCTCTGCCACCGTCAAATCTGTCTCTGTGCGTGACCACGCCCCCCATGCAGAGGTCAGACGGTCGCAAACCCACGCAGACCTCGAGCGGAAGTGCGCAGACAAAAAGCAGCTGTGATTGGTCCTTGGTATACTTTCCAGCTGTCTGTGTGGTCATCCTTCTCGCGCCATTTTTAAATCCGAGGAACAACTACAATGGATAACTACGACTAAAGGTTAATCAAGGATTGCTCCATTAACAGAACCTGTGACCGTGACACCTTGCAGACGCGCCATTGTTGTTTTTGATGATAAACACTTCCGCCAGCGCCGCCAAGATCTCGTGCCCATCCGCCGAAGTTCTTACGAGTTCTCGAATAGGCTCCCCCTTGTGCATTGGCGGGAAACTGCTGTGCGACCTTAGAGATTCCAGACCGAAGTTGCAGAAACATACCAGCAAAACTGTTTCTTGACCAGATAAGCGACATACAGGTGCTGGTCATAAAATTAGAATATCATGAAAAAGTAGATTGATTTCAGTAATTCCATTTAAAAAGTGAAACTTGTATATTATATTCATACATTACATACAAACTCATATATTTCAGATGTTTATTTTGTTTAATTTTGAAGATTACAAATGACAACAAATGAAAATCTCAAATTCATCATATCAGAAAATTAGAATATTACTGAAGACCAATAAAAACAAAGGATTTATAGAAATGTTGGCCAACTGAAAAGTATGAACATGAAAAGTATGAGCATGTACAGCACTCAGTATTTAGTTGGGCCTCCTTTGGCCTGTATTACTGCAGCAATGCGGCGTGGCATGGAGTCGATCAGTCTGTGGCACTGCTCAGGTGTTATGATAGCCCAGGTTGCTCTAATAGTGGCTTTTAGCTCTTCTGAATTGTTGGGTCTGGTGTATTGCATCTTCTTCTTCACAATACCCCATAGATTTTCTATGGGGTTAAGGTCAGGAGAGTTTGCTGGCCAATTAAGAACAGGGATACCATGGTCCTTCAACCAGGTACTGGTAGCTTTGGCACTGTGTGCAGGTGCCAAGTCCTGTTGGAAAATGAAATCTGCATCTCCAAAAAGTTGGTCAGCTGCAGGAAGCATGAAGTGCTCTAAAACTTCCTGGTATGTGGCTGCGTTGACCCTGGACCTCAGAAAACACAATGGACCAACACCAGCAGATGACATGGCACCCCAAACCATCACTGACTGTGGAAACTTTACACTGGACTTCAAGCAACGTGGATGAAGTGCCTCTCTTCTTTTCCTCCAGACTCTGGGACCTTGATTTCCAAAGGAAATGCAAAATTTACTTTCATCAGAGAACATGACTTTGGACCACTCACCAGCAGTCCAGTCCTGTTTCTCTTTAGCCCAGGCAAGACGCTTCTGACGCTGTCTGTGGTTCAAGAGTGGCTTGACACAAGGAATGCGACAGCAGAAACCCATGTCTTTCATACGTCTGTGTGTGGTGGTTCTTGAAGCACTCACTCCAGCTGCAGTCCACTCTTTGTGAATCTCCGCCACATTTTTGAATGGGTTTTGTTTCACAATCCTCTCCAGGGTGCGGTTATCTCTCTTGCTTGTACACTTTTTTCGACCACATCTTTTCCTTCCCTTCGCCTCTCTATTAATGTGCTTGGACACTGAGCTCTGTGAACAGCCAGCCTCTTTAGCGATGACCTTTTGTGTCTTGCCCTCCTTGTGCAAGGTGTCGATGGTCGTCTTTTGGACAACTGTCAAGTCAGCAGTCTTCCCCATGATTGTGTAGCCTATAGAACTAGACTGAAAGACCATTTAAAGGCTTTTGCAGGTGGTTTGAGTTAATTAGCTGATTAGAGTGTGGCACCAGGGGCCATCAATTTTGAACCTTTTCACAATATTCTAATTTTCTGAAATGATGAATTTGAGATTTTCATTTGTTGTCATTTGTAATCATCAAAATTAAACAAAATAAACATCTGAAATATATGAGTTTGTATGTAATGTATGAATATAATATACAAGTTTCACTTTTTAAATGGAATTACTGAAATCAATCTACTTTTTCATGATATTCTAATTTTATGACCAGCACCTGTATAATGTGTGCGGTTGCAGAAGTATAATCTGCAATTTATACACAAAGCTTCTAACGATTTTCAAGAAATATCATCAGAAACTATAAATACTGAGATGCTGAGTCTTTGATGCACATTTTTTTTTTTGAACATTCAACCTGAAAAAGCTTTGATTGGACGCTGGCCATGCTCCTTCACTGCAGAGCATCAATAGAAGATCCAGGGCAGGCAGGGGGTGGGGGGGAAGTGAACCCCTCCACCCCCTGCCTGTCCAATGACAACAAAAACAATGGCTGACAGACAGACCGGAAAAGCAGTTGTGTCTTTCTGGAGCCTGTCCAGAGCCGCAGGCCGCCGGTACCACAGGCCGCCCATGTGTCCCTGGTTGACCGTCAACCACCGGCTCCAGCACCTCACACAAACACCGAAACAACAGCTTTTGTTTCAAGGGCGTGTGGTGTCATTATCTGTTACATAACAAACAAACAAAAAAATCCGCTCTGCGTGCTCCTTTATATTTCCACGGGCCAGACGGGAATAAATATCCGGCGAAGGCTTTCAGGGCGACCTGAAGGAGCCGAGGCGACGCATGGGCGGTGGGACACCGGCAGGGAGACCGCGGGGAGACCGAAACGACCTCGGAGGGAGGATGCAGACTAGCCAGGGATGCTAGTCGGAGGATACGGGGGGTGGGGGGGCTAATGTAGCCCAGCTAGATAGCTGTACGCCAGGCTAGCTAGAACTGGCTAACCGTTAGAGTGAAGCGGCTGATTCATCCGCCATCATGGTTAAATATCCCTGTTTTGTATTTTTTTGTTGTTGTTTTAGAGTGAACAATAGTGTTTATGAGGGAGAGTCTGGGGGGTGAGGGGTGGAAGAGAGGATGTGGAGGCTGGGGGTATCGTTCATCATGAAGATGGGCCGAGGCCAGACTGACGGTGCCGCTAAGCCTCCCTCCCTCCTTCCAGCAGCAGCATCCCGGTGAGGCATCCTCTCCAGCCTCGCGGATGACGACGCCGGAGCAGGGAGGGGGGGGGGGGTCTGTGAGCCCCGAGCTAGCTAGCACCATAACCTCTGCTCCTACCAGACAAACCCCGCCGCGACAAAACCCACGACCCCTGCTCCCACCTCCAACCCGTTCCACTGAACCATTTCCCTCTAACATGTTACATTCAGCCGGTCCAATTATTTCACCTGATAGCTGGAGACCGATAGGGATGCCCCCTCCTCCTCCTCTCCCTCCTTCCCTCTTCTGGGGTTACTGAAGCAGCCACGGAGTGAGGGTAGCTCAGGAGGACAGCGATGGAGCCATGGCTACCGGCGGTGTGCTGAAGAGGAGGGGGTTTGCGCTAAAGACTCGGCTCCTGCTCCCTCCGCTGCTCCGCCAGGAAACCTCACTCCTCGTCTCCGGTTCGCACGTCACGTTCAGTCGGATCCGACTGGGAGGACTCCCGCTGCCTTCAAATGCTGTCGGAAATTTGAGGTTTTCCACAATTTGTGACCCAAGGCGCCCCAAAGTGGTTGATTTAGGTTAATGCAATTCACCCATTGTTTATGGAGGACCAACTCTGCCATATTTAAAAATAAATACGTAAATAAATAAATGCTCTATATATATATAAAAAAAAAAACTACAATTAATTCCCCCCAAAATACAATATACAAATACATGTAGGTAGAAATTAAATTATACAGTAAGACATAAATGTATATATCTCTTTTAATTAGTTTCTTTATTTATTCACCTTTGTTATAATTACCTTATTTATTTATTGTACATTGTAATCTTCAACTTTATTTATTTATTACTTTTTTCAGGTATTTATTTATGTGCATGTGATAATATTTTTGTCTGTTTTTTTCTTCCTTTTTATTTATTTGTTTTACCCTATTTATTTCTTCAATAATAAGAATAACCCAGGTGTTTCTAGAACAGAAAACATTAGTGAAGGACTATATGCACAGCAGGGAATTCCTGAAAAGCATATTTAGAAAAATAATCAGGAAACCTGACCAAATGCTGTCGGAAATCTTTCCACAATTTGTGACCCAAGGCGCCCCAAAGTGGTTGATTTAGTTTAATGCAATTGACCCAACTCAAAATTATTTTAAAAAGAGGCGATCATAATGGTAGCAATAGTATATTAATATTCAGAATCCCTAAACACACTATTTTGCCTCAGTTTCAATTTACTTTATGTGCTGGAACAACACAAACTAGTGAAAAAAATCCAAACACAATATGGAGGAAAGGCTTTCTATTTTGATACTACATGCCAGTTACAAGACAAATCAAAGTGCTGACCGTGGTTATTTTTTAGCAAAACAAAAACTGAAAAAAGGTGGCTTATATGTATTTAATTATACGAGCCCAAAGATAAAACCCAGTTTACCTAAATGCCTTTAAAGGCATCAAAATATATGACCATAAATACAGCTGTAAAGTCCTGAAAAGGCTTAGAGGGAGATTTAGAAAAATAATACCCAAAGCTTTGAACATTTCACTTAATCCAGAAACAGAACGAGAATAACACAATCAGAAAACCTGACCAAGGTATGGTCATCAAGCTGAACCGACAGGCTGGATAAGAAACGTCTCTAAGTGTGCAAAGCTGAGGCATACACCAATAGATTTCCAAAGGGAATATTTACAGTAAAAGGGAGTTCTGCTAAGTATTGACCAAAGAAGAAATAAGACATATTGCATATCTTTTATTTAAGATACATTTGAAAACTTATTTTTCTTCTTCATAAATGCACTGTTTTGTGTTAAACTATCAAGAAACCCTTATATAATTTGCAGTTGCAGTTGCTATCTGTGTGTTCTCAAGGTTCTGTATATATTTTTGCCTAAAAAGGTGAAGAAAAATTTCAATTTTTTTGTCTTACGCTCTGACAGCTAAGTGTGATATTCATTTACTGTTTGTCTCAAAAAGTATAAAACACTGGAACAATTATAAAATTGTGCAACATTGTAAGAAAAAAAAAAAAAAAAAAAAACTAATTATTTTGCTTGGAGTCACCAGGCCCAATAATCGGAAGTCAGATATTTGGGAATGAACAAATACTTGAAGTATTAATCTGCAGATGAATTTATGCTACCATTTTGGCACTGTTATGAATCCTTTTTTTTTTTTTTTTTTTTTTTAAACAGCTGAGCTGATGCAAGGTCTTTACTAAGACCAGTTTAGTGGATTACACATAGCAGTTGTTCCGTCAAGGAATATTTGCAAAATCTTCTTGCTTATTTACATAATAAGCACTGAGTTATTTCCAATCAACCAGATTTGACAGAATCATTTTTCAAAAACCAAGGAAAACACTTTAAAGCACAAGCATTTGGTTATTGGCACATTATGTCATGCAGTAAAAATAAAATATGCATTCTGAATAAAAGTTTTCTGTGATCCGAAAATCATCCTAATTAACATCTTGAAATTGTCAGTCTCTGAGGAAAATACACATAACGTGTATCACTTAGTGAATAGAGTTCCTTAATTAAAAGCTCTTTTAATTAACTTTCTAGGTAATTGAAAATGGATATTCTTCTATTTACAATGCTGCAGATTTATTACAGATTTTAGTCTGCTAAAATGATCATTGCTGTGCCTGCGTTGTTATCTGTTTCATTCGATGGCTTGAAAACCACTTTAGATTGTTCTGATAAAATATTTGCAATTACTTAGAGAAAGCCTCCAATCTTATCTGATCGGATCCTAGTTTCTCACATCGTTTATAATTTTACAGAGTGCACCTGAAGGCATCATCAGTCTCCTCATGGCATCTAGGGCTTTTGTTGGTCCCCAGCTTTTGTTGTCTCTCTCTCTCTCTCTCTCTCTCTCTCTCTGGTGTGTCTTTTTTAAGTCAGTTCAGTTGTTTGTTTCCGGCTCATAAATAAATTGATTGTGATCTGCTGATGATCAGTTTGGATCATGAACAGAAGGCACTTTAAACCTCCTGGTTTGAAATAATTTCTATGGGTTTCAGTACAAATATAGCAACCCCCCCACACACACACACAAAGTACCCACCCAATGCCTCCCGCCTTCCTCCTTTCCTCCCCTGCCTCCCTTATGAATGGGTGTTTTTGTTTGAAGATCCTCGTCCCAGTCTGGCTGCTGGAGTGATGCTGTCGCTGCTTTGAATGAATCACTTACAGCCTGTGAAAAAACAATTAGGGTTCAGGTCAGCCAGGATCAGCTATGAGATGAGACGTGACGACACGTAGTGGAGAAGTGCACTTTACATCCATCTCAAGTAATATTTCAAAACTAAATCCATGTTTCATGTTAAATATAACTAAACTGACTCTGAATGTCAGATTACAGTAATTCATTTTTATTTAAAAAAGCCAACCAGTGTCTGTATTGCTAGACTGTATCCATGTAGCTGACTATTTCCTAAACATTGTAGATGCATGCATTCAGGGAACCGCATTGACTTTACCTGTTTGCAAGGGATGAGATGCTGTTACAAGTGTCAGTTTACTCTGGAGAGTGTAAGGTTTCACCAAGAGAAGAGAAGAGAAGAGAAGAGAAGAGAAGAGAAGAGAAGAGAAGAGAAGAGAAGAGAAGAGAAGAGAAGAGAAGAGAAGAGAAGAGAAGAGAAGAGAAGAGAAGAGAAGAGAAGAGAAGAGAAGAGAAGAGAAGAGTCGTGTGTTTGTAGGTAAGTTTTTCTCTAACAGTATTTATCTTCATTGGTCTTGCATTGAATAAGTAGCATCATCTCCAGGTAGACAGTGGTTTCCAACCCATACACAGAGCATGCATGCCAATCAGAACCCAGAAACAATTACCTCTTAGGACCTTGACTTCTAAAACAAAGAGCTAAAGCTTCAGATTTGTAAAAAAGAGTCACAGTCTTGTATTTTTTCTGAAAGTTTTTAAAATTATTTAATGATTTAAAACCTTTATATCAGGTATGGCTGCCAGCATAAAGGTTTATTTTAAAACCCAGGACATTTTTCTCTGTTCTCACTCATTGGAAAGGAGGTGTCATTTGATGATGGTTGGGAAAATAAAAAGAGAGAAAGAAAAACAACAGCTGTCTGAGGCAGTAAACCAATAAATGGAAGAAGAAAGATAAAGACATTGAGATGAGTAAAAATGACTGAAAGTTAGTCTATGTTAGGTTAACATGTTAGACTGATGTCCTCCTTTCTAGAGAAATGGCAGCAGATTCTAGAGCCGCTCCTGGATTTATTAATACTGCTTTCAGGGTATAAAACTATTCCTGCTTTAACTTTGTTATTTTATTTTAAGCTCAAACCTATAGGTTTAAAGGTTCCGGCTCCGTTGTTACATCTGACTCTGCATTAAAAGTAAATTGAAAATTCTAAAACTATATTTAATCAGCTTTAAATTGGTTTGACTATTTAAACACATGTATTTAACAAAAATGTGTTTTGTCTTGATTTAAACCATCTCCGATTAACAGAGAAAAATGCAAATAGTGTTTTCCCCTGCCTCCCCTATTAATAAGTATTTTAACAGATCATGACAGGATGAGTTGTTTGAGGTTGTTTCCACGTAAATAATTTATTTAACCCATAAAAAAATAAAAATGATATTATATATGCAACATTAAGTTAGTAACCGACATCTAACAAGGATAATATTTGAAAATAAAATGCTTGATTCCAGTTTCTTAGAAATTCATATTCTTACCTTCAGCTGCCACAGTATACATGTCAGATTAAATAATTCTACTTATACTTCAGCGATAGTATCAAGGTTTTAATTACTATTGTATCTTTTATATCCGTTGGTTGTGCTGTTCTTTTTACATCTCTTTGCAGGTGATGAAGCAGATTGAAGACGTTTTATCGGTCTCTCATTTTATCTCCTCTTTCTTTCATCTTTTCTCCTTTTTTTGTTTTTCCTTTCCTGTTCTTCTTACATTGCAGTGTCCATATAACCCGTAATACTCCCTGCATAATTATAATAAAGCAATTTATGTGCATAAACCAAGCGGAACACTATGGAGATAGCCGTACTGCTCCACTTATAAAAGCAAAATCTGTTGGGCTCTTTTTGGCATCAAGACAATTTTTCTTTTGACCACATCACCAGACAGGACACTGCTGGGAAAAAAAAATGTATTTGTGGTTTGATTGCTTTATTTTAAAATATCCTTTAAACAAAATTAATGTCATTTAGCAGCAATGATGGAGAAAAAGAGAAGAAAGCATCAGGAAGAGACAGGGGAAGGTTACAGATTGGCCTAATGTTAGGTGAAAATCCTGGAGCAGCTAAGAAAATGCCAGTTTCTAAATATCATTAATATTTAAAACGAATTAGCAAGATTTATAATTTATTTACTACTATTACATTACTTGTTTGACTATGTGAGTTAACCAATAATTTCTGACCTTTTGTTTCTGTGGATAGGTGTCTTTTATAAGGATAACCAGTTCAAAAAGGTGCCATTATGGATGGAGGACAGAAGAGCTGCGTTTCAATTACAAATGTACACAAAACTATGTCAATATTCTGCTAGTTTTGAACATTCAAATAAAATAAACATTTCAAGTGATTATGTTTGTTCAAGTGAAAATAACCCTGAAAATAACCTGGCAGCAGTCGATGTCTTTTTTTTTCCATTTATTTTTTATTTTTTATTTTTATTTTTATTTTAGAAATTCAAAATACAATTCCAAAACAGAAAAAGTACAATTGAACATATGCCATCAATAACATCTTTCTAAGTAGTCAGCGGCTGACTAAATACTTTTTTCCCCACGGCATATACCACAAGACAAAAACCACAACTATATCTAAACACATTTTTTGAGATATTTAGCAGACAAACTGACATATTAGTTTATTTTTTCCATGATGTGTAAAACATTATGGAAAAACAAATGTTTTTTACATTTAAAATCAGAATATAATTTGTAACAAAATGCAAAGGGAATAAGATAGTCTCTTAATATCCACCTCATTTCTGGGAAATTCGCCTATTTTGCATACCCAAATGGAAAAGCAAATAACTAAGGAACTGTAAGCCCAAATTACATTTGTGGTACGTTATTGGAAAGCTTACATCTTCTAGTTTCTGAATATATACATGAAAATTGGGTGAGTAAAACACCCAAGCTGCATCAGTTCAAACGTGACTCAAAGTTGCCTTTTTTTGTTCTCGAAAACGATAAGTCTGTTTTGAACAGCAGTAATAAAGACACGCTTGCTAGTTGTGGCTTCTTTGTCATGCTATATTTCGACATGCTGCTATAATTGTACTTTGGTGCACGCTATGTCCATAAAATGAACTAGGTGGTTGAATTGTGGAGAATCCAAGCTTTACAACGATGTCTAATATGTCTATATTGGCAAACATTATACTCTTAGAATTTTCATGCATTCTGAGTTATCATTTCTAAACCCTTTAAAACATGGGTTTGAGAGGTTAAAATAATTAATTGATCATAAATGTGAATTTATATGGTCTATATAACCCCTACTGGGCTGCGAAGGAGTAGTTTATATACCAGATAAGGTCCTAAATAGATAACATAAACGAGGACACATAATTTATTTATTTATTTGAATAGGGACAAAGCACATTTATGAACATCAGTATAAAAACAAATGTAAATATGCCGGATTATAGCTGCAAAGCTAGTTTCCATCCGTAGTCCCCAGGCAGGAAAATACATAAGAAAGAACATATAACATACAACACAAGCATCACAAGGAAATGTTAAGAGTTTAGTGGTTACATGACTGGTCTGTTTTCATCTGTAGTTTGAGTTGAGCTCTAAAGCTGATCAGTGTAGGGCTCTCCCGTATGTGCAGAGGAAGACTGTTCCAGATGTTAGTGGCTCTCACAGAGAGAGTGTTCTGACCAAAAGTTGTTCTTCTGTGAGGGACCTCACGCCCTGATAATGGATAATGATGCTAAAAACTATGCAGAATCCTATTGTGTCCTTATTATGTCTGGTGTTCTTCCTTTGCAAGATCTAAACGGGGCGAAGCAGTCTTCTTAGTCTTAGTGAATCATCTGTTCAGAGATGGCTGGATCTGGTATCGCTCTCAGGCTGCATGAATTCAGAGAGCCTCAGGACTGCAAAGACATCACCACAACAACAGTTTTAACAAAAAGGTGAGTGTGCCGCTTCAAATTATTTCTCCCTGTTCTCCTCATTTGTAAAAATCCCTGTGGCCCCTTATTCGATGTTCCTTAGACACAAAGGTATGGTTGGTTTCGGTAGCTCTGCATAACATGCTTTAGGCCTTTGCAGAGACTGCTGGATCCAGGATGTGCAATTTATTAAAAAACATGCAGCTATTACCGTAGTGGTATACAGTCTGGATATGAGGCAGGAATACTGAAAATCTCGATATAAGATTGTAGAAAATTTTCAGGGCTCAGAACAGGGGACCCATATCTCAAAAGTGCTTATTTAAAAAAGGCGGATCTGGAGTAACAGCAAGGACGTCTAAGGCAGGAACCTCTGCAGGAGGAAAACATAGGTTAGTGACCATGTTAATCTGACAGAGGATCATTATGAACATGTGAGTCACTAACCTGGTTGTATAGTTCACTCCATGCCCAGAGAACAAGATTGATTCCTGCCGGTTGGCCGTCAACAAGAGGCGTAGTCCCAGAGGAGGGAGAATAAGCAGAAGATCAGGTCCAAGGGGACATAGAAAGGCAGGATTATCAGGGGACAAAGCCAAAGCTGGTGTCAAAGATATTCTCAGGATTTAGAAATCCAGGTCAGTGACAGAAAGAAGCTCCAAGTTCAGTTAACAGGAAGAATCCAGTAGGAGTCCCAAGACAGGTCAGGCAAAGAGATCAGATGGGAAGAGGCAAGCTCAGTGGTTGAGAGGTATAACATGTCAGGATCAGGTAATCAGAAACACTAATGCAATGCTAGAAAACCCTCCCCACTAGCTCAAGAATAATCTGGCACTGATGACTGGTTAGGGGGCTGATTAAATAGAAACAGGAGCACGTGGATCAGATGAACAGTAATGAGAAAACGAGCGGAGCTAAGCAGGTGAAAAAAGAGATTAATCCAGTCAGTCATCGGCGCCAAGATCATAACAGAAAACTAAACAAAATAAAGTAATAGGGGTCAACAAAAAATAACGACTACCCGACAACCTGTCCTCTACTCAGGTGAATGTGCCACTTTGAAAGCTACTCCTCACCTGCACACATGTACACAGTGCCTCTATGCCCATGCAACAACCAATACTCTCCACACAAGGGCAGCAGACACCCACATATCATCAAATGTCTCTATCCTTGAGGGAAATTTCCATTGACATAATTTCTAACAAGAAAAAAGAAAACACAAGTCAAACCTTTACCAAAAACCATGGAGTCATCAGGGGAAGAACTGCAACCAGAAGGAAGGCTCAGAGAGACGAGTAGGTAGTACTGATGAGGTTAGACGAGGACCCAGCAAAGAAGAGCAGAACAGAGAGAGTATGTAGGAGACTGAAGCAAAGAGAGGGTTAATAAACAGATTAGGAGCAGGTGTGAGCAGAGCAGAAACAAGAAAGGAGCAAGATAATAAAGGAGAACTCAAGAGGGCAGCAGAGGGCAACAAATAAAAACCTGAGAACTGAAAATAACCAGAAAGAACAAAATAAGAATCAAACCACTAAGACTATAAAACATGGAGTAAAGCAAAACTGAACACTCAAAAGAAAAACATAACAGAGCCAAGACTGAAACAGTAACTAAGAATAAACCATACAACACATCACAATAAAAATAAATCCACTGACATTAGAAAACAAGGAGTAAAGCAAAACTGATCACTAATAAGAAAAAAAAAAAAAAAAAAAAAAAAAAAAAATATATATATATATATATATATATATATATATACAATATATATATATATATATATATAAATATAAAAATTTAATAAACCTTTAGGATGTTTTAAGAAAGGCTAGCATTTTAAAAATAACTAAAGATCTTGCCAAATGAATTTGCTCATCTACCTTTACTCATAAGAACTTTGGGGACATCCAATTCTTGAATCTTGCGGTTAAAATGATGTTGACCACGTCTGCAAATGAAACAGCTCAATCTCTCCAGGTGAGGCTTTCCATACGTTTTAAACTGGATGGGGACTTTGAGGAATATTTACAATTCTTCCAATGCCTCTGTAAAGTCCAACAGGGCCTGGTTCACAGTCTCCAGTGTAACTGATCAAAATGGTTTCTGACACAGGTCGTCACATTCTCCCACACTCACTAATACACTCTGTAGACCTTGCCATCTGCACTGGTGAAACAGGAAGGGACCAAGGCAGACCTGTCCTGACAAGGTTAAGCAAAAAATGGTTCAGAAGGCCTTGGTATGCTGAAGTTTCTCTGGATTGCAGCTGTTTGCATGCTTTGAAGTTCTGCATTCAACACTTTAAGGTACAGTTGATGAGGGGAGGCTTGAATGCAGCTGTTTGGCCATAAAAACCTATACCATAAAGCTCTCCAATCACTTACTGTGTCCTACTTTGAAGGTAACACGAGGTTTCAAAGTTTGACAGCCAGTGTCAAATTTTTATTTCCTTTTTCTGGAAAACTTTAACAGGAATGCTTATATTTAGAATTTATTTCATTCAAGAAATAAGACACAGATTAAGGGCCAATCAGATAATTCCCAGAGTGCTGCCTGGTGCAAAACAACAGAAAGGTATTTTCCGAGTTTGTAGAAATCAGAACAATCCTGCTCCTCTACACATATGGACAATATTCTTATCCAAAAGTATTAAATTTAGTCTTTGTAAAGATGACATGAACTAAAACAGAGATTTTGAAAAATTGTGTTTCATTTGAATCACGTTAAACTAATACCGGGCCCATCTGACACCTGCCCATGTTGACCCAGTTCTAGAAATGGCCAAAACTCAGTCACATGCTGTTTCATCCACATGCCTTTCAAAATGGGGTCTTTAAAATTTCTAAAACATGCTTCAAAATTAATTTTTCACAAATACTTTTTGTTTTATAGCTGTGTAAACAAATAAAATGAGATTTTAAATTCCACCTGAATCTGCAGGAGTAATACAACAGCGGGTAATTATTTTTAGCCACGCCCCCTAATGGCCGGCATCATTGGAAACTAGAGGCTCAGACCTTTCCAAGGAGGGGTTGGAGGTAATTGTCACCATTTTAGGTGATTTAACCAGCATGTGTTACATAAGCTTGCTCTGTTATTCTTATTTTCTGTTCAGTTTGGGGATATTATTGAGTGTTCAATGGTAAATTTCAATGAAACAACGGCTAAATCTTAGGAGCAAAGACTTTGTCTTATATAAAAGGTCTCCAATAATGTAAATCAGCACATTTGTCTGGCCAGATGCTCTTTTATGAGTTAGGCATAATTTTAGCCACTTGCTTAAACTAATTCAGTCCAAATTTGCTTGACTTATAGTCAGGAAGTTGATCTTTAAAGTCTGAGGCCTCATCCAAAGTTGTAAATGGGTTTTCATGGTGTTTTTCAGTGTTTATTTTGGAAAAAAATGGGTGAGGCTAGATATTTTTAATTTTTTCTTTGTTTAATCACCTATAAATCAGACATGGTGACATTTACAATATTGGTTCCATCTGAAAAATGTTCCTCAATATCTTTCTGTCACACAAGCATACAAGCATTGTATTTCTAATTTATAGTTTTGGAGCTTTACTTCCTTTAATTCACATATGTAATTTCAGGCTGAATTTGCTCCTAATACGCTCTGGGCTTAAGATATTTATTTTCATTCTCTAAAGAACATCACGTTTGGGAAGAGATGTACAAGGGCTGTATCCTGGTCAGCTGGCTAGAGTCCACAACACACTCTCTAAGGATTGTGGGTAAGACAAAATGTTTTTCTTTTTGTCTCATCTTTGTTGTCACAAATTGTTTCTCAATCTTTTTCATTTTACAGTTGGTCAAGGGGACAAATAAGGAACAACACGGGTTATGATGGACATGCATGTTCTTGTTTATAATGTGTTTTTAAAATACCAATAAAAAAGTAAAAGGGAACTTTTAAAGTATTAGAATAAAGGGACTTAGTGCAAGTATAACATCTTCCAGATGGTGGCAGTATAAGAGAGGATTTAAAGTTAATCTCACTCAGGTCAGCCACAACACACCTTATTACAAATTGCAATATAACATGTTAACTAAACAGGTGCATAGAAAGGATTTTTTTTTTTACATTTAAAAAGAAGCTAAATTCTAACAGGTTGTTTTAATAACTGATAATGAACCGATTTGTTGCATTGCACAGCTGCAGTAAACACTCTTTTCAGTCCTGATTTAAAAGCCCAGAGGTTGGCTCTAGTTTTTGGGGGAACATTGAAACTATATGCCATGTCTTGTTGTTTAATTCTGCCTCTGTGAAAGTTCATTTAGGCCCATAATGACCTGTGAGGCTTTGACAAGTCCTTCCAGATGAGTAGCTAAGAAATGTAATTGGACTCCTTTTTTTTTTTGCATGCGGAAACAAACTGCATTTGTTATGTTCCATTTTCATGACGCAAAACTGCAAGAAGGAAGCAAAAGGCCGGACTTGGGTTAATCTAATTGTAGCCCCTTGCTGCTGTTCCTTCAGCTTTCATGGGGTCAACACTAGGAAAGAAACTCCTCAGAAACTCCTGTGTTGATCTCACACAGCTTTTAGTCATGTTGTTACATAAAAAAAATCCAGAACTAACATGTTTTTGTTTGTTATTTTTTTTCATCCTAATGGCAGGCCTCAAACTTGGCCTCAGCTGTTCTTCCAGTTGCTGTTTTTCCGCTGCCGTCTTGCCAGGCCCCTCATAAAAAATAGATTTACCTTTTTAAATCAATTTGATGGCTCTTTGTTGAACATTTTTCATTTCAAGTTTTACAAGTGCAGCGTACAGATTTTTATTAAAAAAAAGATTATTCCTACAATTTACATTGCTAATAAAATACAGTAAACCCTAAAATACCAGTCCCTGATCTTGAAATAGATCAAACTAGTTATCTGTAATTACTAATCCTTAAAAGATATTTTAAAGACTTGTTTGCAACATGAAGGAAGCAGGCTGTAGGTTTTAGATCATTTGTACTTTCTGTCACAGATACATTAGGCCTACGAAAATGTAGATGGGGGAAAAAACAGGTGAAGGTATAATGAAGTTAAGTTTCCAGAGGTAAAGCAACATGCTGCTTCTCTTGTGCTCTTAATTTTCGTACCGACATAAGCAAATAGCTCACAGAACTTGTTTCAGAAGAGTTAAATAAGGTCAAATGGGCAGGGTTTTTTTTGCCATTAGCAGTGAAGAGTGTACAATAGTGGGAATATTACTGCCTCGCCCTTTCTTTTTGTATTAGGAGGGGTGAGGCCTGTTAATGGCACAATAAAACAGACAGACAACCGCTTTGTGCTTTTTAATGTGGCTTCTTCCTTTTATGTCCAGCACCTACAGCCATCCTGTTTAGGGGATTGTCTCGCTGATCAAAGCACATCACAGCGACTGCATTCCAAATAATCATATTAGAGCCTAAACAAAATAAGAGCTCTGACAGACTGATGGAACATCGGCTGCCGTTTCAAACACGGGTAGAAAAAAAAAGGGAATATGGTTTCTCCAGAGCAGTTCAGTGTTCAGACTACTGGAAGTGATCAGTTATAAAATATGTCTATTCAATGGGGTTTAATGCTGCAAACATGCTTCAAAAGTTCAAAATTATCTGGAAAAAACAAACAAAACCAAAAACAGTATTATTACATGACAGTCTTTGACATTTATTTTTATTGTATGTTAATATCACACCTTGATCTGACTAAAAAAAACCCACTAACAATGTATTTCATCCCTCAGTGAAAGCTCCTCCTCTCTTCGCCAGCCTGTTTCTTCTCCAAACTATCAGCCAAGTTTTGATCTCCAAATTCTGAGAATACTGAGTCATCACCGACACAACAAAAAATCATTGGAACAGTGTGACCTTCAAACCACTTATCAAGAGCACTTTGGATTGCTGTCTCCTTGCTTTCCTCAATCATAGATTTCTTGTTTTGATTTTCAAAGAGATCACAACATGTCCCAAATCGGATGCAGCTGGTTGTTATGACCAATATAGGAAACAGTCATATTTATTAATGTAAAACCTCAGATGGAAAAGTTTGGAGGATGGCAACTGTCATGGTTTTGGTTCTGTTCAAGTTTTATCTCGGCGTTTTAATTTGTCTTATTTCCATTTTTGTGTTCTAGTTATTTTTGATTGTATTTGAGTTCCTAGATATTTCTTGTTTGCCCTCTTATGTCAGTCTCCTTTTCCCTAGATCCCTTGTTTGCACACCTGTTCACTCCCAATCTGCTAATTAGCCTGGTCTTTGTTTCTCTCTCCCATATATTCTCCTCTTGTTCAGTCATTTTTTGCTGGTTTGTCACCATGTCTTTGCCTCCTTGTTGTGAGTATTCCTGGTTTGCAGTAGTTTTGGATTTTTGTTGATTTATGTTTTGGGATTTTTGCTTCTGTTAACCTTTTTGTCATTAAACCTTGAAGAAACCACTTCTGCTTCAGTGTCTGCATTTGGGTCCTGTCAAACCTCCACCCCACCATGACAGCTAGGGATGCACGATATTGGGATTTTGGCCGATATCCGATATGCCGATATTTTAAAACTCATGTAGCCGATAACCGATACCAATGTTAAAGCTGGACAAAAATAAGTAGTCATTGAAAATAGCAGTTTTGTTATCCATTTCTGACACTTTGAAAAATAATATACTCAAATATATTTTCATATGCTGATATCAAATTGATTTTTAAAAACGCGGTATCGATCTATTTTACTTTCAAAATCTCATGAAATTTCATCGTTCTGTTACAAACTCTCGTGATATTTTGCAAATTCTTGTGAGATTTTGTTAGTAAAATAGATCGCTACCGCGTCAATATATCAACATATAAAAATATGGCAAAATTTTGTGGATTTTCGGGGGATTTCGTTGCATAATGATGACATATAGCAATATTTCATTAGTAAAAGAGATTGATATGGTGTTTTTAAATGGCAATATATCAGTATATGAAGATATTGTGATATTTTAATATATCAATATTTTTTCCCTTGTCTTTAGAAGTTAAGTCTGTAAAAAAGAAGTTTTTGAGGAAGAAGTAGTAGTATTTTTTATTTTTGTTTTAGACTTTAGAAACTCAGAAGCTGATCAAATATCGGGTTAAATATCGGTGGGGTGGCCGATGTCCGATATTCAGTTTTAAGGCCGATACAGGCCGATACCGATAGGGGGCCGATTATATTGTGCATCCCTAATGACAGCACCTGCCACAATCCAATAAATGAATAAATTATTCAACTGCATCATTAATTTGTTAAAACTGTAAATAAATTCATAATTTATTTCATTAATGCATAATTAATCCTACACAGTAAATTCCACAGTGTTAAATATGCAGTGTCAAAGTACATAGACCCTTTTACAGTTATTACAACAACGTCTGGAGTAAAATATACATTATATTCAGTTCTAATTTAACACTAATTCTGAGTGTTGTACCAGTTGGAATCCTTGTACCCAGATTCCAGCAGGACCTTAAACTGCTTTCCTCCTCTGAGCCTGGATTAATGGAATAAAACTGACCTTCACCGCATTTCGAGCCAAAACCCTGAAGACTCTGCAGAGAATGTTTAGGAAGCTATCAAAAGACAGGAAAAACACTTAAATGGTCTCACTTAACTGGCTGCGAGGAACCAGGACCTTAACCATAAAATAAACAAAATAGACAAACTAGAGACATAAACAAACAAACATCAAACAATGATCTGGCCTGGATAGCTGAGCTGGACCGAATATAAAGCAGAACCTACAGCTGGATGAGAACTAGGCACGTGATAAAAAGAGCAATTAAGGCCAGCTATCAGAGCAGATCATGACATGAATTCTATATTGGTCCTCTTTAGTTACAGTATATTGTTATAAACAACTGTTTTTGGTCACCTTTTGGTTAATATACTAAGGCAGAATGATTTTGCCAAAATTGCAATTAGTTTTTTATCAAAATTGCAACAGCATTTTATTTTGATTTTCCTTTACACTACGCCCCAGCTTGTAGATGTTTCATACAAATTTTTAAAATAGAATAGAAGAATGGAATTCAACTTTATTGTGATTACCATTGTAACAAGTATAAAGCAACAAAATGAACTCTCGGGGATTAAAGGGGAACACCAGTTTTTTTTACATTGGGCCCTTGATTTTACGTCATTACATCATTTTCTACTCACCCATATTAGTTTTGTGTCATTTGGAGCCGTTCTGAAGATATTCCGTTAGGTTATATCCAAGTAACGTCTTCCTATGGGCAAACGACTTGAAGGCACAAACTGAACTGTTCATAATTTACTCTTTATGGTACGCCAGCATTCATAACACGTAGGCGAATCACTGTCCCCCAGACATCCACGGTTATATTTTTTATATTTATATGTTTTAAAAACAAAGCGGAGCGTGTATGACGTCATCCGCGCACCGGCTACCATTCCTTCATAATGTCCGCTGAACTGCTGCTAGTTTTACTCACATGCCTGGAAGATGTCTAGTGCTACTACCACAGATGATCTCGCTCTCGAAATAGAATTGAACGATTCAGATTAGCTAGAATGAATAGGAGGGGTGGAGCGTAGCTGCCTGTGGCCCGGGCTGCCTGTTACGACTCCAGTCCCCAGGTGCGGATGACGTCATACACATGCCACTTTGTCCGGGCTCCGGAATCCTGGACCTTTAAGCCTTCCTGATCTGATCTGTTTCTGCGACCTGGCTCGGACACCTACATGTTCTCTGAAGCTGCAGCATCTAGGACACTCTGGGCGGCCTCCGCCGCATCTTCATGGCAGCTCACCAGCTGGAACCCACCTTGTTCTATAGAGATGTACTGAACTTTTAAACCGGGTTAGTGACTCATATGGATAATCATCCTTCGCCTGAAAATCTGCAAGTGATATTTCTGTATTCCTTTTCTTCTATCCTGCTTTCCTTCTTTTTCTGTTTTAAAGGAATAGTACAGCCAAAACATGATTAGCCTTCATTTTCTACTCACCCCCATGCTGAACAACACTCTGGAGTACTTTTTTGATATCTCAAATGCATCTGGAGATCTGGGAGGCTTCTTGCTGTCTGCTGACATTCAAATAATGGAGGTCTATGGCGCCCGAGGCAGAAAGGTCCATAAAAGTCCACAAAAAACGTGTCAATATTCCTCCATACTGCTCGTCCAATGTATTCCAAGTGTCCTGAGTGGGTAGCGTCCAGAATTTACTCGAAACTAAGTAATTTAGAATGTTTTTAGAGCATAAACAGTAGTGTATAGGATTTCCTGAAAGCGCGCACATGCGCGTTCACGACGCTACGGAAGCCGGCAGACCAAACCAGATGAAAGTGCGCATTCAGCGTCTGCTCTGCCAATAATGCAAGCGTAGAAGAAGAAATGTGCTGTTTACCTGTGCAAAGAAAGAAACAACGAAAGAAAAATGTCTGAGGACTTCAGTGTTGAGGAAGAGCATGAGTTCTTTGCCGAGCTGAATGCGCTGGTTTGGTCTGCCGGCTTCCGTAGCGTCGTGAACGTGCATGTGCGCGCTTTCAGGAAATCCTATACACTACTGTTTATGCTCTAAAAACATTCTAAATTACTTCGTTTCGAGTAAATTCTGGATGCTACCCACTCAGGACACGGAATACATTGGACGAGCAGTATGGAGGAATATTGACACGTTTTTGTGGACTTTTATGGACCTTTCTGCCTCGGGCACAATAGACCTCCATTATTTGAATGTCAGCAGACAGCAAGAAGCCTCCCAGATCTCCAGATGCATTTGAGATATCAAAAAAGTACTCCAGAGTGTTGTTCAGCATGGGGGTGAGTAGAAAATGAAGGCTAATCATGTTTTGGGTGTACTATTCCTTTAAGGTAATTTATAGAGAGTTTGCTCACATTCAACCATGTGTGGTCACGTGGTTGAGGGCCCATTGTTACAAGCTGCCACCCCCACCTCTCCTCCTTTTCATCACATGAAGAGGGAGGTCTTTCATAAATCAATACACACTCACATTTACATTTCTCCTCCACACATACACACCTCTGTTGATGCCGCTTTGCTAAAACGACTTCTGCTGCTGTTGTTAATGCATTTTAACCATTTCTCATTTTAAGCTGAATGTATTTTATGTTGTTTTAGTTGCGCTGTTGTGATCATCATACCTGCTGCTATTCCAAACAGACATTATTGAATGTATTAACATCTGGCCTATCTTGAACAATGTCAGAAGCCAGTTAAACGGACTCTTAGGGTTTTATTCTTTTTTTCTTTTAAACTAGTCACTAGTCTACCTCTTGTTTATTTTCTAATAGCGTGTAGTGTTTTGTAATTCTGAATTATTAGAATAAAGACGTCATTGTTTAACTTGTAGTCGTTTGTGATCCATATAAACAGATGTTTTATCAATCAGGCCAGATCCACCCTCTTTTGGTAATGGTGTGAATAAACAGAGATAAATAGTTATTTGATTGATAATTAATAGCTCTGCTGATAACCTAGCCTGGGTCACTAAATTGGTGTGGATACCTGGATTTTAACAGCCGGTCCAGGAACCATCCAGAGGTGAAAGGTATAAACCCTGGTAAATAAGTAAAGAGCTACGATTATTCAACCAAGAACACTAAATTGATTTCAACCCCGATTTTGAATAAGTTAAATAATTAACTACAACTCCAGTTCTAGTTAATCATTTATTCATTATCTGCAGGATATTATTTTGCACAACAATGTGAACCGTAAAGGCAAGGCTGTCATCTTTCACATCTTCCCGGATGAACTTCATGTTTCTGTCCACTTCGTTGATATGGTCTGTGAATGTGTTAATATCCTTGGTCTTTATCTAGACCCATGTATCATCCACGTATCTGAACCAGTGAATAGGTTTGGTTCCATTGTAAGAGTGTTGATTTCTGCTTTCCACTTCTTCCATGTATAAGTCATCATTATGAGAGACACAGGAGAGCCTCAGACACTTGTCCATCCATGCTTCTGCCTGGAGAAATCTTGGTTGAATTGGAAGTATGTGATGGTAAGACACAAGTCCAGAAGAGAACTGGCATAGTGAGTTGTTGAATTAAAGGCCTTCTTTGGATACTGGTGTAAAAGTGCCGAATTGGTCACCGGCTTTTGCTCTCCAGACATCAAGTTTTTGACTGTGAACTGCAGACCTTTCTATCTACATAGAGAGCTCACTGTGTTTAGCATCACTGCTGTATATGTACCCCCAAGAGGTAATACAAAAGATGCCTTGACTGCTCTATACCAGACCAGGGCTCGATGTTAACCATCGCCCGATCTCCTGGGGCAAGTAGTTTTTATTGTTGGGAGAGTACAAAGTTAATTGCATTTGCCCGCCGGGCAAGTGCAATGATCGCAAAAAAAAAAAAAACTTTATCACTCAAAATTACTTTAAAATCACCAACATTCCGGCTGCATTTTTGTTGTTTT